TATCTTATAATTATTAGTTTGTTATCTTTAAAACATTAATTAGATACTTCTTTATAATTTATAAAAGGACTTACTGTTAATAATCTTAATTTAAATAATATTCTGATTTTAACCTTTGTAAGTCATATATGATGTTTCTTTCAATAACTCAAGTATCTATAGTTGACTTAAATGAAGGTAATCCTTATTATAATTTGTGCAATAATTTTTTTTCAGACCACCAAGCCCAGTTGAATGTTAATGCTAATTATCTATAAGCATCTGCTTTTTTATCAGAAAATCAAGATCAATTAGTTTCTAACCTAACTTCTTTTTCATTGTAACAACTTTTACTTCATTTAATTTCTCTTAGTTACAAATTTCAAACTGAAATTTTATATATGTTTTCTTGTGTTTCTTGTTCACATTGCTCATTCTTATGTTTCCTGCTTAAGCAAAATGGGTTTCTTATAATACCAATGTTAATTACAATCTTCTTAGAGCTTTCTTGCATTTGTCAATTACTAAAAATCCTAATAAAGAAGGTTAGATTACTGTGTTTACTTCTTGTATATCTATCACTAAATGTCATAATGCTACAACACTTTCTTCTATTATAAATGCCCTATCAAATGTTTTTATATTTCATTGCCATTAGCTTTCACCTATTTATCTAAGTTGCTCTCTTGAATATATAGAGGCAGTATAACATCTAGTAGCAGTAAACAATACAAATCAGTTATTTTAATTTAAATTAAAAAAAGGCTTTCTTAAAATATAAGCAAATTTTAAGATGATCCAAAAATAAGACAGACTCTATTTCATTAATTTAATTATAATAAATATTTGACACTTTTGTAATAATAACTATACCATGAATTAAATTTAATTAAGTATTAATAAAAAATTAGTAAAGAATGCCCAAATGCAAACAATATAAAAGTACAACTAGTGTAGCATATTATGCCAAGAAAAATAAGCAACAAGTATAATAAAGCTTAACACAACATAACAATAATAATACTGTCAATTTAAATTTAAAAAATAATAAAGAATTAGTAAAGAATGTTCAGATACAAGCACAACTAGTATAGCACACTATTATAAAACAATGAGCATATTAAAACTTAATTCAATACAATGAGCTCTATAAAAAGTTTATTATATATTTGTAAAACAAAAAAAAACAAATAATAACTTATTAGAAAAAATTAAATAAACTTTATGAAGATTGATAATAAAAATATCTATTATTCCAATAAACTAATTTTAATACAAATTCATATAATGATCAAAAAATTATAAATACAACATGAGTATAATAAAAAAAATCTAATGGGGGACTTAAGCAAAATATGCAATACAAATATATAAATATACAGATATACAGATATACAGATATACAAATATATAGTAATAGCATATAACCTAAGATAAAAATTTTGGATGCAGATTATTACTGTATTAGTATAAAAAGAAAGATGATAGATCATAAGCACAAGCACAACTAATAAGTAAAATGTTTATCAGAAGATCACTGCCAACTTTAAACTTATACAGAAATGATCAACAGTCTGCCCAAAAAAAAAGTAAAGGTTAATAAATTTACAGTATATAAAACTAGATATATGTTTGATTTATTAGATAATCAATTACCCCAACTTTACAAACTCCAATTCTTTAAATAATATATATTTATCTAAGAGAGAAAACAGAAAGAACATATTCAATTCAAAATGAATCTCATACACAGTGTAATTATTAAGCTAAAATAAATAATTTTAATTTTAATTAATTATACAGTATATAGGATTCACTTTGGATCAGGTACATTCTCTTCTGTTTGGAAAAAAAGTATAAAAGCAAGACATTTATATTACTTTTGAATATTATATTCAAAAAACTAACAATAGAATTTAACTAAAAAAACCATATAGCTCCATATCAGCAATAATCAAAAAATTACTAATATTACTTACAACTATTACTCTTTTATTCTTAAAACCTTTTGAATAAAAATTTTAATTAATAAACTATATTCTATACAAATATAACCCTTTCTACCCTTCACTTTGTCATAAATGCAACCTGCATAACACTTCTCTATACTAGGCTATCTGTTCTTCTTCTTAAACTATCTACTACCTTCTTTCTAACTCTCTTGACACTATTTTAAATTAATCTCTCTTGATATCTTAGTTAATCTTGTTACTGATTTGTATAAAAAAATTCTTACACTTAACAGTTTTAACTTACATAGTTTTTTACATAAACTCTTATTAACTTTTATTATATCTAACTTGGTTCTAAATAATCTAATTTCTACTATTAATAACATTTCTATTTCTTATCATATTGATACTTTCTTTCTATTAAATTTTTTCTTTATCTAAATTAACAAATATATAAATATATCTGGATTCTTTACTGCATTTCTCATTCTGAACAAGCTGAATCCTAATTTCTACTAACTTACTAAATAGTTCTTCTAGTCTTGTTTTATCTTTTATTCTAATATCTGAAATTATTACAAAATAGACCTTTAGACTATTCAATGGATTAAATACCATATTCTCCTTTCTTATATTTTTACTTATACTCAAATCTAGGTAAGCCTTGACCACTCTTGTAAGTTTAGATCACAGATTATATGTTTGAGTCTTTATTCTTTATATGTAATTTAAAAACAAACTTTTTTTTACAAAAATTTCACTTGAATTTCAGTAAAATTAAAGACATGATCTTACTATTAATATTTTTTAAAAAAAATCAACAATAAGACTCAGATAAACTATCTGATCAAATGAAACCACAAATACTTATTAGATAAAAATGTTGCTAGGTTAATTTTACTATTGTGCAGTCTATTTTTTTAAAAATTTTTATTTTTAAAATAAAAAAATTAAAAAATTAATTATGATCAAAAATTATGTAGACAATTATGTAATGCAAGTCAAAAATTATATAGACAATTATGTAATGCAAGTCAAATTTTGTAAATTACGATTATTAGTCAATCAAATTTACTGTGACAAAATTGATGTGGTAGTTAGATCTTTTGATGAGGTATAGTTACAGCATTACAGTTATGGTATTACGGTTATGACATTATGATTACTGCATTATGGTTACAGCATTACAGTTACTGCATTATGGTTACGGCATTACGGCGTATAATATTTACGACAATCAGGTACTGTGAAAAATAAATTCTACCACATGGTAGAATGCCATAATGCCGTAATTCAGTAATTCTACCATCAAGTATATGTCCGCATGCCAAGCGGATAATGGACTTATAAAAATTAATTTTGTAAACCTATGTTAACCATACCTACTATCAAAATTTTACACGTCCATACATATTTATACAATCATAACGTACTACTTTACCAACTATATACCGTAGAAAGGATCAGCAAGAATTTTCGCGAGTTAGGAATGAGCCACTGCACAGCCTGTAACATTATGCAATCTTACTAGAATTATACTAGCTGGTCAGAATTATGCTAGGGTTGACTTGGCCTAAATTTTAGAGTCTACTGTAAGTGCCATCGGATTCGCAGGTAAGCAAAAAAAAAAGCCAGTTATCATTTCTGAACGATGCTAACGTAAGTTTACAACCACATGAGACTCTGAAATAATTGCTGACAAAACTATGCTTATTGTATATTAGCATCAAGCTATTAATAAATTGGCTATTGAGAATTTATCAAACTTTTTTTCTCATATTGCTAAATTAAACAGGTGACATTCACGTCACCCCATACTAATTAATATTAAAAATAATAAAATCAATAATTTTTATTTATTAAAAGATAATATGGCTACTTGACAAAGTAATATAGTGCAGTGTTGGGCACGGACAAATAAATAAATTAAAATTACTCAAAATTTTATAAGTTAATCTATTTTAACTTTCTAAATAAAAATATTCAGCGCTATAAAAAATATATAATTATATTTTTTTAAATTAATATATTAATTTTTGGAGCTTGTATATGCTGTGGACATTCTTGGACATGTGGACGTTTGGACATTGGACATGGTCTAAAAAAGTCTTAGAAATAGTAGACGTGACAACACTGATATAGTCTATTTAATTATTTAAATTTATAAATGCTGCTTTTAATATTTCTTTTAATATTTTTGATTTAATTGTAGCAAAATATTTTATTCTTAATTTATTTTTATAAATAAGAATTTTGAATGCAATTTCAGATAGAAATATGCCAAAGTAATTTACGAACGTCAATTATTGAGATGTTATATAAGCTTAATGAAGAAAATACCAATAAATCGCATAACAACAATAAAAATTTGTGAAATTCTTACAGAATGTCGCGAATGATGAAAGTGCTTGTAAGAAATATTATATAAAAAATTAGATAAAAGTTAGAAAAAAATAAGAGCTCATATGATGACATTTATAAAAGCAAATATTTTATCAAGTTAATATTTTTATTAATATTGGTTTTTTTTTTAGACAAATAACATTAGTACATTATAATTATTTAACGGATTGCGAGTTAAATGAGTTGAATATAACAGAATAATATAAAATATACATAAAAAATAGTGTGTATCTGTCATTTATCTGTTTTCAACCTTTTTATTAAATATCATTTTGAAAAACTATATAATAAACTGCAAAAAAAGTAATAGATATAATAAAGTATATAACGGTTAAACATAGTTGATTGATAATGAATGGCAATACAAAATTGGTAAAAAAAGACTATTGAAGGTCTTCTTTCTTAGTAAAACCTAGACCACAGGTAAATTAGACTGTATGAGTTTTTTTAGACAGAATAGTAATTACATACAAAAATGTACATATATTATAATTGTAATAATTTAGTTCCTATCAAATAAAAAACCAAAAGTAGATTTTCACTTTAAAAATAAAATAAAAAAAATCTAAATTAAAATAAAAATAAAAAGACTATTGAGAATTTTGAAAACATTAAAAATTTAATGTTCGCAAAGAACAAAAAATCTTTCAGATAATTTTTACTGGTATGGAGAACAGAGTGTGATTAATCCTTGAATTTAAATACGAGTACATTCCCTGCATAGTGGTGGAGTACCAGAACATCCGGAACATGCAAATTTACAGGAACCACAGTTGACAGAACATTCTGAAGTACAAATACCAGCAATGAAATTAAGAGAACTACAAAAAGGAGCATCCGTACAATTTGAAGCAACAAATATACAGGTTCCACAACGACCAGTGCAAACAGAACCACATTCAGGATATTGTTTAATAATAGGAGAGGCTAAGATCACAGAGCAGATGATTAAAAAGACTCCAAAGGTTAAAAATTTAAATTCCATCTTAATTGTAGTGAAAAACAAACGTTTTGCAGATAATGAAAATGGATTTAGAAAATCAATATTTAATTTAATTGACAATTTGTGAGTCATCTGATGAACTTTGTGTAATTATAAAATTATTCGGAATTACTTTTTTAGTTAATGTTGCTAATGTACACATTTTGTTATGTATTTAGTTTTCCACTTACACGTAAGGAGATCACAGTTTTGTATCTATATATATGTGCTTTCAGAAAATAATATATATATATAATTAGTTCCTTGCATCTATAAAATCTTCCCTTTTGCTATTAATTTAGTAAACTGCTTTAATACTCGGATCCAATATTTTAAAATTTTAACAATAATGATTTATTAGATAGAATTACAGAAAATTAATTGTTATTGAAACAAAATTATTCACATTGAATCTGTTTCTGGTTTCTTATACCATTGTTATCATAGATGGCTGCAGAAACAGTGTCAATTATTACAAAAAAGCTCTTTCAATTTAGGAAGTCCTTTATTGAATGTGTTTTTTTGTCGACATTACGATAAACGCGAAATAACTATTACGTAATACGTGTCAAATGAACTAATATTAACTTTCAAATTTAATAAGTAGAAATAGTGCAGTTAAAAATTTTTTTATTGGAGGGTATTATGATAAATATTCAAATAAGAAAAAGCCAAATTTTAAATTCTTTAACTTGTACATATCTGATCAATAGATTCTGAGTCTCTTACTATTTAACATGAGTGAATTTTAAACTAGTTAGTATCTTTTACAGTCTATGAATTAAGAGTGTAGAAAATTTTCGAGAATACTGGTAAAAAAAAAGCGTGCAAGAATCATTTGATCAAACAGATCGTTCTAATGATCTGACAAAATTTAATTGATAATAAAACGACATTATAATCATTATAATGATATATGCTAAAGATATTAATTAACATTAAATTTGATATATCAAACTTATAGGTACCTCACAATTCAAACAAAAACAATATGAAATTCTAGATATATATATAAGGCGTGAATTTCAAGCTTGTTAACATATACGTATTGTGTATTAAATAACTTTTATACACACCAAAATAGGTGATGGATTTATCATAGTTTGAGTTAGTTACATAATAAACTCCATTTATACAGAATTATATAGAAAAAATAATAATATTGTATCCAAATATATACGATCGAACACAGGATTTTTATTTTTTTGAAAGGTCATTACATATAATATAAGCAGTGATGTCGGTCTAATGGATTAAATGAACTTGGATATCGGAAGTTTATAAAGTCCAATACCAAACTAATTATTAGATTAGATTTATTAAAACGTTTATATTAAAATTTTAACTAGATCTCAAAAAAACATTCAATAATATATAACCATCAACGTTTGTCCAATTTGTCCAATATACAACATTGCATATAAGAAATATAAGCCATAAAAAGAATTTACAATTTAATAAATAACATAAATTTGGTTAATAAATTTTTTATACATATTCGCAATAAATTGATACTTGCCCAACAACCACAACCTATTTAGCATTATAAAATTTTAAGCTTTTGTAACTTTAAAGTAAAACAAAATAAAAAATTTTTTGTGCATTAAATAGTTTTATTACTTAAACTATCAGTATCTGAAAATTTTTTTAATCATTTTGTTTTTTAAAGTTTATGTTGTTTCAAAATTATATATAATTCAAAATTTCGACGTTTATATAAAAAAAAATAAAATTAAGCTTCATCAATAAAATTTATTGATTAATGTGTTTTTTTAAATTTTTGCATTTATATATAAAAAAATGGCTTTAAGTCTGCAGTAGGGCATAATATGATTTTAGAAGTATTATACAGAGAAATTTGAAATTTTTATTTATGGGTATTTACTTGAGATCGCTTAGATACAGTGATACTGTCTAATTGCATATCATCCGTCAAACTTTTTTATGCATATATGAATGCCGTCAAAAGAAAACCTACCATTGGACTTTCAACGATATTTTGTGCACAGTTAGCCATATATGAAAAATCTATCATGATGATAGACAGCTATCTGTACACAAATATTATTGAAAGTCCAATGACAGGTTTTCACTCATATACAGTATAGGCATTTAAAGTCATAAGAACCATTTTTGTGTAAATAATCACAATATGCTTATGTTCTTCAGAGTAAAATATCTAAGAATTGCCGAAAGTACCGAATTATAACCTGGAACGATTTGATGATTAAAATTTGATTTATATCCGAAAGAATGGCAACTTTATGTTTTGGGGAATAGAAATGTATAAAACTTTGAAGTAAATGGAACATAAACCCCATGTATTTGTAATAAAGGACTTGTCAGTCAGAGTCAGTATGACACATTACGGCGCATTTGTAAACTACCTGAAATTTGAAAATTTTGACTACTGTGAGCTGTGAAACGTGATCCCGGAAACACGTGGAAGGGATGATCTATGTGGCGCAGTAACAATTAACGGTGTGAGCCGTAGGACTGTGATTCTGGAAGGAGGTGATCGAAGTGATACAAATGGGTATGTAGATCATATACCTGAAATAGGTATACGTAGTATACACTGTATTCGCTGTATGCTATGTATCTTATGCATCGGACTAATAATGGGTATTAGCACAATAAGGGGTATCAGAGGGATATAGGGTATAGAGAATATAATTAGTATCAGTGATATAGACGTTATAATCAGTATAAACAATATGATCGATATCATTGATATAAACATTATCGTCAATATAATTAGTATAGACGTTATAAGTAGTATAAGCGATGTATCATGAATCGAATATATAACATGCCCTATGTAAACGAAAGTATATAATAAAGGCCTTGAGCCCTATGAAGAGATGAAATAGAGTATTCGTGATTCAAATAGAATTCATCCCTAATAATAATATACCACTGTCGTTATAATAATACCTACGATCATAACATACCACTCGCCAAATCTAACTGCCTCTTATCGACTAAGCCGATTCGTAGGTGACATGACGTATCCGATTGAGAAGGGACCGAAACGCCGACGCCGTTCGCTGGTGTCATTTTGGTGGTGACTGTGAGATTCGACATCCAAGAACAGCTAGACTGCGGAATTAAGGGAACCCTGATAAATGAAAAAATAGATTAGATTAAAGAGAGAATGGAAGAATTATGTCAACAGCTAGAATGGATGAACAAGAGACTTACCGCCATTACCACCCAGATTGAAGCACGCGCAAGGCCCCAACCAATACATCAGAATTTCAGACCAACCTACAGAAGGAAAGAAGAGGAGTTAGAAGAAAAAGACCAAACAAAGAAAGAAAGGAAAGAAATGTATAGAACTTATCCAACATCCTGGAAACTAGAAGCCCAAGCAAAAAAGACCCACCTTCAGCAAGTCCCATACCATGAACAGACCCAAAGAAGCTTTCAAGGAGAAGCCTGGTGCTCCTATTGTAAGAGAAGAAAGCATATTGTCAGTAAATGCCCAGACGTAATAGCATTGGAACAGAGATGTGCAGCCTTATTCGAAGCACTTACCGACAGACAAGCCCAGAAGGTACAACGAACTATTAATGAAGCCTTTGGATATCAAAACCTCAATAAAAGACAAATTTCACAGGCCTTGGAATTTATAGTGGAAATATTGGAAGATGTTTCCGTAGATGTACCTATTTTTTGTAACCAACGTCAGCATCAAGAAAGTTCTAAAGTCGAAGAAATAGCCTACCTAAGCATTGACTTACCAGTAGTTCCAAGACTGAAAGTTCCCTCAATGCCGCCTGGTTGCTAGAAGGACCTAATTGACGAAATACTAGACCTTTATTTCATCCCAGAAGAAGAACAAAATGGAATTGGAGTCGAAAAGGCTAAACGAATAGGTGTTGAAAAGGTTGGAGTTGGGAAAAATGAACGAAAAGCCTTCGAGTACTTTCAAAAAGCTACCGATATGAAAAGTGCCTTTGATGTAGGTTATCATTACAAACATGGAATTGAAGTTGAAAAGGAAACCGATGACCCATCTGAACCAAAGAAAGAACCCTCTGGAAGTGAAGCCGAAAAGGACAAATACGATCCCTGCGATAGCCACCTGGAACTGTGTGAGCTCAGCCCTCCTGCTGGTATGTATAACACTGGACATTGCTATAAAAATGGGATTGGTGTTGAAAAGGATGACTACAAGGCATTGAGATGTTATCAAAAGTCTGTTGACACAGAGAATGCTAGAGGGAAATGTAATGTTGGTTACTGTTATGAAACTGGAATTGGTACTGAAAAAAATGAACATATGACATTTATTTATTATGATGAACCTGCTGAGATGAAGGACATTAATGGAATATATAATGTTGGAAAATGCTATGTAATTGATGTTGAAACGGATGAACGAAAAGCCTTCATCGATTATCAAAAACTGGCTAATATGGGTAACGCTAATGGTGCGTATAATCTTGGATATTGTTATCAAAATGGGCTTGGAGTCCAAAAGGACGAACGTAAAGCATTTGAATATTATAAAGAATCTGCGAATTCAAATAATGAGAAGGAAAACAATGTATCTGTAAGCCTTAAAGAAGCCAATGATGCTGATAATGACAATGATAATGATGACGATAATGACAGAAAGACAATATTTGCTGAAGAAGAAACCAGAAATTGGAAGAAGATTGAAAGACTAAAATCGTTGGATTTCAGAAGTCTTGGAGACACCTGTGACGATTGGAATAGAAGGGTAGAAAAATTTAAAGCATTAATAAAAGAAACAAGAAAATTGAAAAAGTTTGACAAAACTCACCCAAAACCATGTGACCTACAACACGATGATACAAAAAGGAAAGCTGTTGTAAAGGTTTCGAAATTGGCCCTTGAAGAAATGATTACCATATTGGAAAATGGACCTAAAACAAAAGAAAGAATAATGGCATTAGAGGTGGAACAAAGAATCATAAACGACAAAGGAATGCCCTGGTACTTATCTCTGCTTCAATCGGCCTCGATGACATTCGATTCTGGTGGAAACTTGTTTCCTGTTATTTAACTTTGTCTCGTGGAACTCAACCTTGAGTTGGGGAGGAATGTGAGCTGTAGGACTGTGATTCTGGAAGGAGGTGATCGAAGTGATACAAATGGGTATGTAGATCATATACCTAAAATAGGTATATGTAGTATACACTGTATTCGCTGTATGCTATGTATCTTATGCATCAGACTAATAATGGGTATTAGCACAATAAGGGGTATTAGAGGGATATAGGGTATAGAGAATATAATTAGTATCAGTGATATAGACGTTATAATCAGTATAAACAATATGATCGATATCATTGATATAAACATTATCGTCAATATAATTAGTATAGACGTTATAAGTAGTATAAGTGATGTATCATGAATCGAATATATAACATGCCCTATGTAAACGAAAGTATATAATAAAGGCCTTAAGCCCTATGAAGAAATGAAATAGAGTATTCGTGATTCAAATAGAATTCATTCCTAATAATAATATACCACTGTCATTATAATAATACCTACGATCATAACATACCACTCGCCAAATCTAACCGCCTCTTATTGACTAAACTGATTCGTAGGTGACACGATGTATCTGATTGAGAAGGGACCGAAACGCTGACACCGTTTGCTGGTGTCAACGGCTATGTCGATCATCTACCTAATATGGGTTTCCTGGGCATAAAGTCAGTTAAAACTATTAGTAGATATAAGGGTAATAAAAGTAATAAGGGAAATAGAGTGAAATTATGATTAATGGGTTATAAGGGTTTTAAGTAATAAAGGATGTTCAAGGGGTATATAATAGATAATACACTTAATATATTTAATACCTATAGGAGTGCATATGTAATAGAACAATATATAATAACGTCTTCGAGCTCTACAAGAACAACAGTTCACGTTTATCATAAAATTTGATCTCAATAATTCCCTGCTTTTGTTTCATTATAATACCTATGATCATAAATAACTAACTCAACAAATCTAACACACCTCTTGTCGACTAAGCCGTTCATAGTAGTGATGTGCCATTTATAAATAGCCTAATTTTTTTCACATACAGTATAGTTTAGTATATATGTTTTTTTAAAAAAATCAATATTAGGTTTTATATTAATTATTTAATGAAGTAACCATTTCAATAAAGTTATGTGGCTTTCTCACTTTGAAGCAGTCAATTAAATTGCAGATAAAATTATTACTAAATTTAAGTTTTAATCAGTTAGAATTATACTTTTTTTTATAATATACTTACTTGACTTCTAATAAACATTGTAAAAGAATTAATTACAATTCTAATGATAATTAACCATTAAAATTGACTTGTTAGATTGTGAAATCTTTGTAAACAAAGATTTATAATTTTTTAAATTTCTTTGAAAAGATTTAAAAAATTGTAAATTTTTTTTTTACATATATCTCATATTCTATCAAGCAGATCTTAATAATTTTAATGTCTTTAGAATTATAATAACTGTATAAACACTTTTATTAGAAACTAAGGTATATTATAACAAAAATTTAATTCCAATCTATTAAATCTTAATAGTTGATTTTTAATTTTCTGTTGGCTAATTTAAAGCTATAAGTTATGTAAGCTTCTTGAAATAATCAAATCTTCTTCAATTGGCCTTCATAGTAGTTCATATTACATAACACAAATAATGTCACATGATGAGTCATTTTTACTTGAGTCAGAATAAAATTTTTCTTAATTTTAATTAGCTAATTAGTATATAAAACAAACAACATAAAAATAATTGACAAAATTTACATACAATATATATGTACAATATGTATGTAGTACTGTACATAATATATCACTAGTTTATAGATTATATGACATATCTAATTGAGAAGTGACTGACTTGAGATTTTAAACATATCACTACTAATATGTAAATATAATTCTAACTAATATTAATTAACATTTTTTAAGTTATAAACATTATTTTAATAATTTTTATATTTAATAAGAGGAGTTAAAATAAAAAAATAGATTAGACTAGTATGTGTCATGTATAGTATAGTACACAAAAAATATTTTAAAATATTCTAGAACAAATTATAAAACTATTCATATCTTAAAAGTTTTCTTATAAAACTGTCTTTTGTATACTAAGTAAAATTATTCTTTATAAAATCTTATATATAAATAATTTATATATTATATATATACTATACATATTGCACATGCTATATACACTATATACATTATATATACTATATATACTGTATATACTATATATTAAAAAAAATTGAATATCATATTGTTACTATTGTTTAGAAGAGCTATAGGATATATAATATTCAATTTAACTTCAATAATAAACTAGAATAACAAATTTTAATAATTAGAGTAATATATAATAGTACTATTGGTATAGTGACTTGTTTATATGTATTGATAATTTAATTAGTATCAGTTGGCTAATTAATATAAAATTAGTTTATTATTATAATTAAAACTAATATTTGCAGTCAAGATTAATTATTAAACTACTATACTCTTGTAGAGTTTATATAATCCAGTACTTCTCTTTACAATCTTATTAGTGTCTTTTATATTTTTGCAAGTTCTTTTATTCTACTAATCTAGTAAGCTTTGCATAATATAATTTCATAATCAGATTAACTATTATTCAAATTAATAAACTTCTGTTATTTAAGAGTTCTTATTTATACAAATTATTTGCTTTAAGTTTTTTTTTTCAGATTAAAATTTTTACAAATAGAATTATTAAAGATTGTATTATCTTTCTACTTAGAATTTTTAGAGCTTCTTATAAAGTATATACTTTTCAAATTTATTTGTATGATATTATTTACTTTCAAAGTTAATCTTGATATAATCAGAATTTAAAAATTACAATTTCAAAAAATTGCAAATTATTGAAATAAAAACTGTTTTTGAAAATTTACTGTCAATAGAATTTGAACTTTAGACCTATTGCTTAAAGAATAACAACACAAACTAAAACTATTATTCTTATAAGAAATTTATTTATTAAAACACAAAAGATCATTTTATAAATAAAATTTTAAGTTAATAATAATTTTTTAAAAAGATATAATTTTTATATTACTTCTAATTCTTTAATCTAATTAACTATAGTCATATATTAAAAAAATTCTTATAGATAAGTTATTGAAAATTTTATAAATAAAGTTTAAAATAAAGCAAAATTATGTACTATTTTAAAAAGAGCAGAATTATATAATAGTATTTACTTAAATAACAGTAATTAGTAATTTGAATTTTTACTAGTTATTATTATTATTTGTCTTATACAATATCTATATTTTTAAAAAAAATGAGACACAAATTATTAAATCTTTCTAATAATTATTTATATCAATTTTCTATAACATAAAACTGATTATTACTTGTTATTTTATTAAGTAAACTACTTCTGGACATCTAAGTAAATTTGTTTTTGGTATAATTTTATACTTAGACAGCCAAGCTTTATATTTCTAAGTTCTTTATTTACAGAAATATATTAATTAAATATTAAAACTCTTACATCTATTTTATCTTAGAATTTATTAAGTAAACTGCTTTTGCTTATTAGTATAAACAAAAAGAGCTCACAATGGCTTCATTTTAATATATTATTTATTAAATTTGGACCAAATTTGACTAATTTATTAATAAAATACTTGAAACTCTCTTGCAAAATTTTTTTATTTTTTATTTTTTTATTTTTTCTTATTTTAGAGTTTTGTATAGTCTACTTCTGTCTAAATCTATTCAAACAGGATTACTAATTCATATTATATAATTTATTTTTAACATAACTTAATTACAAATTTGTATTCTTTCTAAATTTATACAAATTTGTTTAATATCAATTCTAATCTACAAATAGATTTACAAAGTTTTATATACTACTTGTAACACTTCTTTAATTATTACTTTCTTTAATCTATCAAACTCTCTTATTTGTTACACCTCTTATTTGTCATACCTTTTTATTTCATTTTTTTATTTGTTACATCTCTATATTATTTAAACTTATTTCAATTTAAGAATCTTTATATCAAATTTATATTAATATCTGAAGCAATCATGCGTACATCTATTAGTCAAAAATCAGATTAATATGATTTAAACTATTTCTTAGTCAAGTATGATGACTGTTTTGGTACTATAGCTAAAGAAACCAACTTAAAACAAATCAAACCTATTCAACTTATTGTATATCCAACTGAATGTTACAAAAAAATAAAATTTACTATTTTAAAGCACCTAACCAACCTTCTGTTATCCAATGTATTTGTAAAAATATTATACTTTATTTACTTCTTGTTATTATCAACTTCCTTTAAGATTTATGATATCTTCTTTTCTAACTTCTGTTTCTGCTATTTCTATAGATATAACTCCAAATTAATTTAAAAAAATTCAAAATACTATTTCTCAATCACTTGTTACCAAAATTCTACTATTTTTTTCAATTACAACAGCTGATCTAAAGCCACTTTTTCAACTATTACAAACATTAAACACAATACTGTAGCTATTACAGTCTATATATAACATACTCACATCTGTATTATCTATTATAAATCTAATATTCTATATATTTTTCTTAGCAACAACAAATATTCTTTTGACTCTTCTACCAAAATTCTATTTGAATTTCTTGCTTATCCTACTTGTATTCCAAATCTTAAATTGAAATCTACATTTCAAAATTCAACCTCTTAACTAATAACAATATACAATATTTTATATAGCTAAGTTTGTTCTAATTAACAAAAAAGAAAAAATTTAAATTTTCAAATAATTCTTTTAACTTTTCAAAAAAAAAAATTATAAAACAAAATAAACTCAAAATTCTACAACAAAAATAAGAAAACCTTTTTGATTGGTCTAAAAAATTTCTTATTATTAACAAATAGAACTATTTGCTAATTTCAATACTTTATTATCTCAACAAATTTTTGAATTCATTAAGTTCCATCTTATCAATTTTGATTATGAAAAGTTACTAAACCTGTAACTAAAAGAAACCA